GCTGTCAATTTTATTATTTGCCACATTCATACATCGATTGCTATGCAAACATGTACATTAGCAGGTATGTATGTATGTCGATTGCAATTGTGGCAGTGATGGCAGCATTCAAGTGCAGTATTAAATATATTCATATGTAAGTGGATACATACATACATACATATGCAATGTATTTACGTATGTAATTGTGTTTCCTTTGGCGTCCCACAAAGCTGGTTCGCCGATTGCTTTTCCGCACAATTTACCGGTACAGAAAAACTGCAATTATCAAATGTACGATATTTGACAGTTTTATTGCAAGAAAACTGGAAAAATTAAAAATATGCCAACAATTTGTCTTGCCCAGATAAGACGGCTGTGCAATGCAAAAGTTCACAAAAGTGTTTAAGAACAGAAAAACATTTTGAATAAAGTGTAGGCATGCGACATGTAAAAAAGAAAAATGTACTACACAATGATTGCCAATTCATTTAGTCAGCGACTATTACTGTTATGTGCTATTTATTGTATGCGCACGCAGTTAATTTTTTTCGAATTGACTTGTGATTGTGCATACATACGCATGCGTATAGGCGCACTTATGCATTCGCCCATCTTACAGGTATCCGTAGAATGAGGTCGCATACAATTTTTTGGGTGTTTGGAATTTTGTGAGCACCGAAGATACTTTGTCAATTTGTAAAACACCGTTAGTTATGTTTCGAATTATGCGTCTGGCGGGTAACTTTGTGTATTTGTTTAGCAGTGATAAATTTCTTGAAATTTCTTAGCCAAATTTTTTCTTAATACCGCAGAAAAATATGTAAAAAGCAAAAAAAAAGGAAAACAAAAAGTGGTATTCTGAAGAAAAATAGTCGGTAAGCATTTAGCTTCAACCTCAGACAACCAGCATCAGATTTTATGAAGAGATATGCTTGTACACATAAATTTTACATTTTTTTTTGATGCACAATGTCGCATACACAATGTAAGTATTACACATGTTATAAATTTCAGTTGTCAAATGATGTGTGAAAGCAATAATATATATATCCCTACATTTGTATCGTATAATCCAGCTCGGGGGAAGGCAGCGTAGGTGGAGGCAGCTAATGGGAGTCCTCGTCCTGTGAAGGGTATTTCCGGGACGGTTCTGGAGCAACCTCAATTCGTGCTGTTATAACAGGCGTTATGGTGGGGCCTGGCAAGAGCATAGCTGTAGAGACGGACGCTGAATACAATGTAACCCCTCAGGCTGGGTGCCTATAAAATATCCGCAAGGCTGCAAAGCCAACACACCTTTAGTTAGGGGTCTCACGACCTAGCTCCAGTGCCGAAAGGCGACAAGCGGCCAAAGAAGATAACACCGGTAGAGTCGCTGCGAGAGAAACTAAGAGTGATTCCTCTCAGGATAAAGTAGATCGACGGTCCCTTCTCGCTGAAAAGCGGAACGCCTCCAAAACTCTAAACAAGTATGACGGGGTGAGTTAAAGCGAAAGCCTTGCTACTAAACTTCTAGAACACAGGTAGGGCTTCGGTGGAAAACCAATCGCTGTCCAATGAAAGATCTGCAGCCTTGCTAAGGTTGCTAGGGACAGGATTCGCATCCGGGTTCTTGATCACGGCAACGAACTCGGCTCTATACCGCGGGACAAATGGAGGTGGGTGAAGGCAGCTCTAGAAAACGTCATTCTTGGCGTTTTGTTGAAGAAACCTGGAAGCTCAGATGCCGGCTTGTGATGATGCGCGGTCGGTGGTACGGTATAAGTACGGTGACCATATTAAACAACGTAAAATAAAGGACTTTTTCAAAAAGATTTGGGAATACGTACATAGAACTTGTATGAGAAAAGTACCTTACCTTACATTTAAATCAAATATTTACCAGTTAATTATATTATTTAATTGTACAAGTTCCCCTGCTGTAGCGAAAAATTAGCCAAATCCTTTTAAAGACCTTCGCCATCCTTTGCCACCAAAATGCGTTTAACATAATTCATACTGTACAACGAAGCCAGCACACAGTGGTTCAAAACTGGAATTTAATGTTCATAATTTACCGGAGCCTTCATTCAACCAATTTTTACTAAAAACTAACAAAAAATATTTATTTTGGTGAACATTTATTAAAACATTTCAAATTTTTGTGCAATTTTTTCGTTTGGGAAAACCATACAATTGTTTTCAACTAGTGTTTGCTATGTAACATTTATTCACTGGAACAGGAGAATACATTTTCTTCAAAATTGTTACTTTTTCTGTATTTTGTACTAAAAAATTTAATATAATTAAATAAAAATTCACAAATCAGGCTCAGGCAAAATAATCAAATTTAGTGAAAAAAATTAAGGCCCCAGTGAATTACGAACACTAAATGCCAGTTTTTAACCACTATGCAGCAGGGGGTTTGTTGTTATATTTCAGTAGAAGTGGAAACTCAGCGTGCAACACGATCCTAGGCACAACTTTCTCTGTGCTTATAGATTGTACAAAGATTACCGATTAAGTAGAAACCTTAAGTGGGGTGCGAGCCAAACTGGCGAAGGTTTTCATTATATTTTATAAGGGATATTTTTATGTTTCATATTCTGTGTTTAAAAGTTTACCTCTGAAAATGCAGAGCTGATTTAAAGGACAGTTTAAGAAATAAAGGACAAAAGGCGTCATTTATTTTGAAAAAAATTATAAAGGAAGGGGTTAAAATAAAGGGCTGTCCTTTAAAATAAAGGACGGATGGTCACCGTAGGTATAAGGCCACTGTCCCAAAGGTGGGAATTGTCTATCCCGGAGAAAATCTAAAAGTAGTGGACTGGAAAGACGCCTAGGAAAAGGAAGTGGGTACCTTTCACGCCATCATCGCCGGAGCGCATCTTAAAGATGGTCCAAATTATAAATCTACGCGTCGAAGATGTGATGTGATGTCGTGCGATATCATATCCTGTGATGTCATATCATGTAGAGTTTTGTCATGTAATAACATATCATTTGATATCATGTCATGTGATTTAATGACTGTGATGCCATATCATATGATGTTATGTGGTGTGTTCATCCGTGGTGAGTTTGGAGGAGGTATGGTGAGTTTTGTTGTGGTGAGATATGGTGTGGCCAACTAAGTTATGGTGAGTATATGAGCGGTGAGTTTCTTCTACTTTTATCAAAAACCTCATCCTTATATCGTCGTTTAAAGTGCAAAACCGCGTATCAACAAAACGCAAAACCGCGTATGTGAAGTTGTAGAAATTATTTTCTAGAGTGTAAAAACACTCATATTTCAAAATGATTCTCTTTTTTGTAAAGCAGTCGCATTTCTGGCTAGTATATTTCAGGACGAATGGATAAGGATTGAGCCAAGAGCTTGTGTGAGCAAATCCAATTTTAGGCAGCCAATGTCAGTTACGCGGGTTTGCAGAATGACGATACGCGGTTTTGTACTTTAAACGACGATATTATCCTTTACATCCCACCAAACCACCAAATTTTTAAACTTTTTATTCAGAATTTTAAGAAAAATTGTTGGTATGCAGTTTTGTAGCCCATTCCATGATAAAAGCGTATTAAGGTAAAACCGTTCTCTCAATGCGTCGGCCATGATTTTTTTTTTGAAGTTTGCCAACATTTTAAAATCGTATAAAATTGAGAGTAAAAAAAGGAATTGTTCAAAGTTACTGTTGTTTGAGATTGAAAATTAGAATGTGTGTGTGAGTTAGTGTGTAAAATTTTAAAATTAAATTGCTCAATTGTCAAGAATTTGAAAAATTCCTCCCAGTGGTTCTACCTTCCTATTTTTTTATCATGGCCCATTCAATTTCAAGTGGCTTCAAAATAAAAAAAAAAAATTGTCTGGCACACCTTTTATGGGACAAAATATGTGACAACGTCAGAAAAAATTCCTAAAAATCAACGGTGTTTGGTAGCGGATTGACGCTTGCACTTTATTATACTAAAAATTGCTACAAAATTGCATACCAAAAATTTTCTAAAAGTTCTGAATAAAAATTTTGATAATTTGGTGCAAATTCGGCGAATTTTTATAATTTGTGTTAAAATTTTGAAAACCGGATTTATATGATGTTTGCTGTATAACTACCTAGGCTTTTATAAAAAAAATATTGATCCTAAAATAGACTAATAAATACAGTCAAAATTTTTAAAAGTATGGCGGGTCTATTATTTCTGCCGCCAGCTTCACTTTAAAAAATGCTTATATCCAAATGTAGGTGTCACCGAAAAATTAGAAAAAAACCTTAGGTCCCCCAGGTTCAAATAAAAATATTTCAAGTTTAGGAATGTACGGTAAACTTTTTTTGGTTGCTTGTAAGCTCGCACGCTCTACTAAATATGACAAGATAATTTATTATATTTTAATTACCATCAAATAAGTCAATCAATTAACTAACTCACTTTCCAAATTGTGAATGAACTGCCAGTGCTAAAACACAATTAATTGAAAATATTTCAGCGCCACTTGCGAAGTGTTGGACAAAACCACTTAACACAATTTCCTCAAAATGAAATTAATATTATTACCAAACTAAATAGCTAATAGCTGCAGTCAGCGAGAGAGTCTGCATTGAATAAGCAAACAAAAATAAAAGCGACAAAAATATACGAATTTGTGGTCGGATTGCATGCGAAATTGGCGCAGTGAGCAATAGGAAAAATCGGGTGGCTGCGTAAAGAGCCAATTGTAAGTAAAGCAAATGTGGCAAGTAATTGGTAATAACACAAACTAAGCCATGCTTGTGGCAATCACCTGAACAATGGCAGTCTACGCCAGAGAGAGCTTAAGGAACGTTGTGGGAAAACGAAACAGCGGATTTGAAGCTTCGAACTGCCGCAAGCAAAGTGGGAAAAGCAGGCGCAAAGTAGTGCCAACATGTTGTGTAGAGCAAACGAGAGAAATCTCAGCATAGTTGGCCGCTGGTTCGAACGACTAAGCTTGGTGCTCGCGCAAAGCGCCCGGGTTCCTTGGCCACTTGCCGCGACAACAGATTTCAGTTGACTTTTACCACCTGAACGTGTCGGTTGTTAGCAACGCTTAAACGCAACTCGTACCGCCGACTTTTTGTTAGCTTCCGTTTGCTTTTTTTTTTATTTTGTTGGCTTCTTCCCTGCTCTTGGCTTTCCTGCTGCATTCCGAACGGTGGCTTACGGTAGGCTTTGACAGCTGTTGCATCAGTTTCGGTTACTCATAAGCTCGCTGATCGAACACTCTGGCAAACAGCCACTAAGCGAGTTGCGAGATACGTTGTGGCGTTTGATTTAGTCGTGCGAGGCAAATGAACGGGTGCGCATGCGCAGACGCTAATTTTCACTTTTTTTTTTTGTTAATAAATATAAAAGAGAAACTAGCGTGTGAATTAAACAAAAATTATTTTATAATAAATGAGGAGTATTTTGATTGAATTCAATGAATTTTTGGTGCTTTTTGCAAATGAAGTGATACCAGAAAATATTTAACGAAAATTTTGTGCTAAGAACCTTTTCGCGAAAGATATTTAATATAGAAAAACCAGTAAACAAATCAGTGGTACTCAAATGTTGCAAGTTCATGCAAATGAAATCAAGTTCAAACTCAACCTAAATAAAAATGAAATGTGTACATAAATAAAATTTTAAAACTAGAAAGACGAAAATCACTGCACAGCGTCATCGCGCACTGAAAGAAAGCTGTAATAGTAGAAAGGCGGCAAAGCAACAACGGAAGAAATGAAACGTCAAAAATAACGTTGAAACGTTGCTGTTATTGTTGATGTTGTTGCAAGTGCTGCTGCTGTTGCAGTTGTTAGTGTAGTGTGTTGTTGATCTTGCTGCCACCGCGTGTAACGGTGACATACTTACCACTACGAGTTTTTGCAGTCGACGACTTCACCTGTTTGCTGTTTCGGACTGTTTCTGACTGAAAGCAGCATTAACCGCTTAAAAAGACATAATTTAAAGCAGCCGAAGCAAAGACCTACAAAATATTGTGCACAAAAAATATTAAAAAAAAGTTACTAAAGTTGGCTAAAATTTATGTCAGCACAGAAATTTTTAGCAATTACTTTGAGTGTGTAGTGAAAAATATAAAACATAAAGCAAGCAAAATTAAAAGTTAAAAGTACCAAATATAAACTACAAATAAAACGCAAGGCATCTCTTCACTCGTATTTTTCATTTGCGCATGCGCCCTTTTTTGCATAACCTTTGTTACAACTATTGTAATTAAACTCAGCCTGCTTGAAGGCAGCTCACCGTTCAGTGCGTAATACCCGAAATATATTTTTTTATTTATTTAATCTTTTTGCAGTGTTTTAAGAAGCTTGTAAAAGAACAAAAAAAAAAAACTTTTGGTGTAACTTTGAACTTTTTCTCTATAGAGGAGTTTAGTTTAAGAACAAGCGTTAACAACGACTTTAAACTGTGAGAATAACAGTTCAGGTGTACAAACAACAACAACACCAATTAAGCTGCAATGCCGCACATACGTACACAGCTGATCCTGGTGATCATCAGCCTACTGGGCTATCACGCACGCATCGATGCACAAAAAACAGGTGAGTTTTTGTGAAGGAAAATTCTAGTGTAAAAAAAATATATTGAAGGCAAACAAAAAGACATGCATAATTTTGCCAAGTATTTGGAACTTCAGTTCGCCGAGGGGCGACAGACATTAGAAAAATACACCTTTATTTTGGATATTCATCAGAGCCGGAGTCGATTCCCACCAAGTGGTAGTATGCAGCCGATGTAATATGTATTGTGGCTCCCTACAAGGCAAAATATTAAAAAATATGCATGAGTCACTCCATTTAAAATCGTCCAATGGCTGGAATCAATCATTTTGAATTTCTATGAACTTAGGTCAGAACTTTTATTTTATCATATAAACAAGTTCTGCCAAAGAAAAAAAATTTAAAAATTTTCAAAAGCTCACAATTTGGCAATTTCCTCAAAAACTAAAAATGGTTCGGGTCTCCTTTTGAAACATATATTAAAAAAAAAAATTAAGTGTAAAAAAGGAAAACCCTAATTTTTTCACACAGTATCCTCTGACTGATCTTAAAAGATCCTGAATCTTTCAAAAAGTTATTTTAAAGATAAGAAAATCTTGAAATTTGAAAAATTTTAAAGACAAATTTTCTTATTCAATACCTCTAAGGGCCAAATTCACAGTGCATAGTTAACTGATTTTAAAAGATTCGGATTTTTTTACTTTGATTTTTTTTCGTAAACTCTAAATTAAAAAGAAGTTTAGATTAAAAACAAATAGTTTGATATGGCAAAAAAAAAGTTAAAAAGTACATAAATATGTATCTTAAAAAGGCATCTCGAAAATTGTTGATCTGTTGGGTTCATCAAAATTTTGTATAAGGTTTTGCTTCTACGTTTTATTTATTAATTTCAAGATTTTGTAAATTTTTTTATTTTTCGATTTTTCTTATACATATTATAGCGCTAGATTCATCTTTAAAAGGAGATGATAACTATTTTTGTAACTATAATAATTTTAAGATATTCAAAATCAAAAAAATTTGCGAAGTCTGGTAAATTGTTGCATTTAAAATTTTACAAAACTTTTGAAAACCCATTTAATTTGTTTTCCTTTGGCAGAACTTCGTTGTATGTTAAAAAAAGTTCTGACCAAAATCGGAATGGCTATAAACTTTATAATACAAA